AATTTTATGGAGAATAAGGTAAGAGGATTAATTTTTTTCCAAAAAATTTTTCTGACTCCCTCCGGGTTAAAACGGCCCCAATTGTTAATAATATCTGCCATAAATGTAACTAATTTTAAGTTATTTTTAAATTTCCGCGTTAAATATCGAGTTTAGGAAAAACCAATGAGCCATTTTTTATAGAGCACTAAATTTCCTACAAAAAACATCTGTAAGCCGAATATTTCCGGGAATAACCGACGGGGACACTAAAAGTACCTTGAGTAAAACACAATAGCAATATTTGAGGCCAAGTTAAAGGTCACGTAGGATTAAATCGATGACCGTCGCGGTGTCTCTCACGGGTCTTTATACCATTATTGTATTTGTCTATTATATTTTAGTTCCCTCGAAATTTAAGCCCCTACCCCTTCCCCCCTCCCCTTCTCCCCAACTTACACTTACACTTACTTACTAACTTACCCAGTAATAATAATGATACAAATCGAGTATGAACGATTTAAATTGTCAGCGGAAGAGACTCGTTATGCCCTCGAGCTTCAACCAATCGTTAGCTCGTTCGTCCACGATCATTGACAATATTCCACGCATTTATTGTTTCTATTATATTATTACTAGCTCTGACTTAACAGCTTGACTCATTCATACGCCCAGCAAATTTTGTTTTGTTTTTCAAAAATATCTCCTTAGATTTTTTTCTCTAAGATTAATATTATACCCAAAAAATAAAAAAAATAAAATTAGTTACATTTATGTCAAATTTTTATTTTTTAAATATTTTAATAACTATCAAAAATATTCAAAAAAATCTTAAACATTTTTTGTAAGAAATTTAATTCTTCATAAAAAAGGTCTCTTTGATTTTTTCTCTAAAATTGATATTTAACCCAAAAACGCAAAAAAAAAATTAGTTACATTTGTCATAATTTTTAAAAATAAATTAAAAAAAATTTTTTTAATTAATTTTCCACCCAGGAAAGGATACAAAATCATGTTTAGAGAAACTAATGAGCACGCATCTTTGTACAAGAGCCCTTTGAACTGAGTAATTACCGCGTACTACCGTACGCGGTGTATTCTTCCTGAATTTTAATGGCGTTAATTAAGTATTGTAATTTCTGGGTTATTTTTGTGTAAAGTATTACGAAATATCAATTTTAAGGTGTCTAAGAGATTTAATAATAAAAAATTTTCAAAAGTGGACAATAATGTAACTAATTTTCTTTACCGGCTTTTTCTCAGCTTTGTTCGGATGAAAGTCGGGGTTTATATAGGTCATTTCACGCGGAATATTATCGAAAATAAGGTAAGAGGATTAATTTTTTTCCAAAAAATTTTTCTGACCCCCTCGGGGTTAAAACGGCCCCAATTGTTAATAGTATCTGACATAAATGTAACTAATTTTAAGTTATTTTCAAATTTCCGGGTTAAATATCGAGTTTAAGAGCAACAAATGAGACATTTTTTATAGAGCACTAAATTTTTCCTATATCTCCAATATTTCCGAAGAAATCAGTGTCTTTAAACAACAACTAAACTTCCATAAATTCAAACTTTAAAAGGCTCTAAATAATTTTCCACAATGACAATTTTCAATGAAACGCTCGTTGATTATAAATTATTATCCATAGTTTGAATATGAGTACAAACTTTAAGTCTATCGATAGACGCTAGCCACTAATCATCAAAAAGTTTGCCCCGTCTCGCGAAAAAACTTTTACGGTAAAAATAAATCGATGAGCTGGGTCATAAATCACGAGGTTGTAAATTTTTTTTTTATTTTTTTTAAATAAAAAATAGTTAAACTTTTAGAAAAATCCCTATAGAATTTCAAATTGTCGTTACAAGTTTCACCCAGGTGTCAGTAACGTCCACGTCACTGACGGTTAATTTATAAAAAGAATCTGTAAAAAATAACAGAAGAAGAATTTATTGGGAATAGCTATCGTACCTTTGGATTGAAGCCTCCTTCCCTACTTACCGCCACGGAATCGTATCAATTCAGACACAAGTGGCATTCAAATCCAACTACACTGTTGCGCCATTACTGAGCGGTGTATTGAAATGTTACGGTGCATTTCATGCATGTACTCTTCAAACTTTGCTTTAAATAATTTATTTATTAAAAAATAACACTCTACTTAAACTGTTACATTTATGCCGGTTTTTTTTAATTTAAATGTCTCATTGGTTTTTTCTAAACTCGATATTGAACCGGGAAATTTGAAAATAACTTAAAATTAGTTACTTTCATGTCAGATACTATTAACAATTGGGGCCGTTTTGACCCGGAGGGGGTCAGAAAAATTTTTTGGAAAAAATATAATCCTCTTACCTTATTCTCCATAAAATTCCGCGTGAAATGACGTATGTAAACCCCGACTTTCATCAGAACAAAGCTGAGAAAACCCCAGTAAAGAAAATTAGTTACATTTATGTTAGATGACCTTGAGATTTTTAGATTTTTTAGATTTTTGGGGGAATTATGGGAGATAGCGGAAAATTTTTAGAGATTTTTTTGTAAAAAATTTAGTGCTCTATAAAATGTCTCATTGGTTTTTCCTAAACTCGATATTTAACCCGAATTTGAAAATAACTAATCGAAAATTAGTTACATTTATGTCAGATACTATTAACAACTCTTGGGGCCGTTTTAACCCGGAGGGGGTCAGAAAAATTTTTTGGAAAAAATATAATCCTCTTACCTTATTCTCCATAAAATTCCGCGTGAAATGACGTATGTAAACCCCGACTTTCATCAGAACAAAGCTGAGAAAACCCCAGTAAAGAAAATTAGTTACATTTATGTTAGATGACCTTGAGATTTTTAGATTTTTTAGATTTTTGGGGGAATTATGGGAGATAGCGGAAAATTTTTAGAGATTTTTTTGTAAAAAATTTAGTGCTCTATAAAATGTCTCATTGGTTTTTCCTAAACTCGATATTTAACCCGAATTTGAAAATAACTAATCGAAAATTAGTTACATTTATGTCAGATACTATTAACAACTCTTGGGGCCGTTTTAACCCGGAGGGGGTCAGAAAAATTTTTTGGAAAAAATAATCCTCTTACCTTATTCTCCATAAAATTCCGCGTGAAATGACGTGTATAAACCCCGACTTTCATCAGAACAAAGCTGAGAAAAACCCAGTTAAAGTTTAGAACCTTTCCGAAAATTAATTAATGCTTGATGTTAAGTCCCGGAAGTCCCATACCGATATTTCTAAAAAGTGCCGATCTTCTGGTATCCTCAGCTTCGGGGTGCTCTGTAGACCCGATCTATCGAAAAAAAAGTGCCGATTTCTCTATCAGATCGGTAACTACACCCGATTTTCTGTTTTTATTATCTAAAAATACTCTACTAATTTATTAAATTTTTTTTCTCAATAATTATAAGTAAATAACAAACAGTAGGCTTACTTCTCAAAGTAACCCAGTAGCTCTTGCTCTTGGTTATAGTATATTTCACATAGAATTGAAGGGAAAAGGGAAAAGACGTACCCGTGCGCCGACGCTTCTTCTATTCCCACCCTCGCTCCCTCTTACACATAAAATCTAACTCTAACCCACATTAGACATATATATCTATATATCTATATCTATATAGTCATATATATATATATATATATATAACACACCCTCTCGTGTACACAAACGGTTCCACGATCCCCGATCCACCTTATACCTTCCACCTCGTAGCCTGGCGGCTCGCGGCTGGCGGTAGTTCAGTTGACCCCGTGCATCGCGGCATGTCGGTCGTAGTATCAGTATCGCGTGTCCGCGATAAACACCTCTCGTTAATATCGTGCCTGATATAAAATAAAAAATATAAATAAAAAAAACATTGTTTTATTTCTAAAAAAAAAAAAAAAAATATTGTATAGTGCTACTATTAATACTATTAATTAAAATAATTATAGGTTGGCATATTAATTTTTTTTAGTGACATAGTACTACTATTAATTTTTGGGTGTTACTATTGAAATTTGGATTGAAATAGTGGATTGATAGTTTAAGAATTTAATAGTGATATAGTACTACTATTAATAGTAATTACTATTTTAGTGACAGTAATATTATTATTTAAAAAATAAATTGATATAGTACTATTATTTTTTAATAGTAAAAAAAAATTTTTAGTGATATGTAATTACTATTAAAATAGTGATACTATTTTAAACTATCAAATTTTAAAGAATTAAATTAGTTATAGTGATTTATAGTGTTACTATTAAATAGTGATAGCTATCAATTGTTTATAACTATCAACTACTATTTCAAAATCAACGTAACTATCAACAATCACTCCTAAATTTACATAATTTTTTTTTTATTACAAAATATCCTTTTTTAAGCTAGGATAGTGGCACTAAAACTATCATTTATCACTCCTAAGGAAACATAGTAACGTCATAGTTAGTAACTATCACTCCTAAATTAAGATAGTAACGTTGTTAATCACTAACTATCACTCCTAGGGTAACATACTAACCTTTGAAGTTCAAATGATCGTTCTTATCCAATATAGTTACTAACTATCACTCCTAAAGTGATTTAGTAACGTTAAAGTTACTAACTATCACTCCTAAATTAATTTAGTGACAATATAGTTACTAATTATCACTCCTAAATTGACAAAATAGCCATAAAATCACCAACTATCACTTCTAAATTATTATAGTGACGTTAAAGGCACTAACTATATTTCCTAAATTTACATAGTAACATCATAGTTACTAACTATCACTCCTAAATTGGCATAGTGACATTTTAATCACTAACTATCACTCCTAAATCAATATTGTGACGTCACAGACACTAACTATCACTCATATTGACTTTTAAACTACTAACTATCACTCCTAAATTAATTTAGTAACGTTATGGTCACTAACTATCACTCCTAAATTAATCTAATGACGTTATAGTCACTAACTATCACTCCTAAATTAATCCAATGACGTAACAGTCACTAACTATCACTCCTTAATTATTTTAGTAACTTCAAAATCACTAACTATCACTTTTAAATTAACACAGTAACGTCGTAGTCACTAATTATCACTCCAATTAGTTTTTAAACTACCACCTATCACTCCTAAACTATTATAGTAACATACAGGTACTATCACTCCTAAACTACCATAGTACCTTCCTACCTCCAAATTATCCCTCCCAAACTACCATAGTACCATCTTTATCACTAACTATCCCTCCTAAATTAATTTAATGACATTACTGTCACTAACTATCACTCCTAAGTTAATCAAATAACGTTATAGTTACTAAATATCACTCCTAAATTAATTTAGTAACCTAATAATCACTAACTATCACTCCTAAATTAACACAGTGACGTCAGAGTCACTAACTATCACTCCAATTACCTTTTAAACTACCAACTATCACTTCTAAACTACCATAGTACCTTCCTACCTCCAAACTATCCCTCCCAAACTACCATAGTACCATCTTTATCACTAACTATCCCTCCTAAATTAATATAATGACATTATAGTCACTAACTATCACTCCTAATTCACTATAGTACCTTTCTACCTCCAAACTATCCCTCCCAAACTACCATAGTACCATCTTTATCACAAACTACCCCTCCCAAACTACCACCCCACCTCCCAAACTACCATAGTACCACTCAAATCTAACATCTTGCAACCAACCTTTAGTGCTCTAGTGTCTCAAAAGTGTCAAGTGCAATGACAGTCAACTGACCACCTATCGTACCACCAGCAGCATCACGATGTCATCAGGAGCTATCATCCTCTTGCTCTCCACGATCAGCTTGACCACCCTCGCCAGATCGGACCCGTTAGTAATAGAAACAACCAGCGGTCTGATCCGCGGAACCTCCAAGACAGTATTGGACCATGAAGTCCACGTGTTTCTCGGAGTTCCCTTCGCCAAGCCTCCAATTGGTCCCTTGCGGTTCCGCAAGCCGCTGCCAATGGACCCTTGGCACGGCGTGCTGAACACGACCAGCCTGAGCAACAGCTGCTTCCAGGAGCGGTACGAGTACTTCCCAGGGTTTGAAGGTGAAGAAATGTGGAACCCTAATACCAATGTGTCGGAAGATTGCTTGTACCTGAATATCTGGGTGCCCCAGAAGTACAGATTAAGGCACAAGGAGACCCCGGAGGACCACCGGGGGATGCCACTGCTGGTCTGGATTTATGGGGGAGGGTACATGACTGGAACCGCGACCTTGGACGTGTATGACGCGGATTTAATGGCGGTCACCAGCAACGCTATCATTGCCTCGATCCAGTACCGGGTTGGCGCTTTTGGGTTCCTTTATTTAAACAAGTACTTCGGCTCCAGTGAGGAGGCTCCGGGGAATATGGGCCTGTGGGACCAGGCCCTGGCTCTCAAGTGGCTCAAGGCCAACGCCAAATCCTTCGGAGGCGACCCCGACGCCATCACTATCTTCGGAGAGAGCGCTGGAGGCGGCTCCGTTTCCCTCCACCTAATTAGTCCCGTCACTAGGGGCCTTGTTAGGAGGGGCGTGCTTCAGAGTGGGACTCTAAATGCACCCTGGAGCTTCATGACCGCTGAAAAGGCCACAGATGTCGCCAGGGTGCTTGTTGATGACTGCGGATGCAATTCTACGATGTTGGTGGATAATCCTGCTAGAGTTATGGCGTGTCTCAGGTCCGTTGATGCCAAGACTATCAGTGTTCAGCAGTGGAACAGCTACTGGGGAATTCTGGGGTTCCCTTCTGCGCCGACTATTGATGGAATTTTTCTACCGAAAGCGCCACTGGAACTGCTCAAGGAGGCTGATTTTAAGGAGACGGAAATCTTGATTGGGAATAATCTGAATGAAGGTAAAATTAGTTACTTATTATTAACAACCCCGTTTAGGTCAGAAAAATTTTTTTGAACAAAATTAATATTCTTACCTTGTTCTACATAAAATTCCGCGGAAAATGACGTATATAAACCCCGACTTTTATCAGAACAAAGCTGAGAAACACCCAGTAAAGAAAATTAGCTACATTTATGTTAGATGACCTGGAGATTTTTAGATTTTTTAGATTTTTGGGGGAATTATGGGAGATAGCGGATAATTTTTAGAGATTTTTTGTAGGAAATTTAGTGCTCTAAAAAATGTCTGATTGGTTTTTCCTAAACTCGATATTTAACCCGGATTTGAAAATAACTAATCGAAAATTAGTTACAATTATGGCAGATACTATTAACAACTCTTGGGGCCGTTTTAACCCGGTTTAGGGGGTCAGAAAAATTTTTTATTGAAAAAATAATCCTCTTACATTATTTCCCATAAAATTCCGCGTAAAATAACGTATATAAACCCCGACTTTCATCAGAACAAAGCTGAGAAAAACCCAGTTAAAGTTTAGAACCTTTCCAAAAATTAATTAATGCTTGATGTCAAGTCCCGGAAGTCCCATACCGATATTTCTAAAAAGTGCCGATCTTTTGGTATCCTCAGCTCCGGGGTGCTCTGTAGACCCGATCTATCGAAAAAAAAGTGCCGATTTCTCTATCAGATCGGTAACTACACCCGATTTTCTCATTTTATTATCTAAAAGTAATATTGAAGGGTTTCTAGAGTTTAAAATCGGATAAAAAACGTGCCGATTTTCATGATTGATGCTGAAAGATATATTGAAGAGAACACGGGTGGTAATTTCGGGAGCAATATGTCTCAATCTAGTCACTCCTCGGGTCTGTCTGTTCGAGTGACAGCTTTTTCAATAAAGAAGCTTGTAATCGATACGCAGTATCTTTCTACTGACTACTTCATAACAGATAATATTTATAGTGACACACTGACCCAATTATTCCCTGAGAATTCATTGATGCGCTGGTTAATAGACAGCTCGATGAATTAGTGACATGTTTAATAAATCTGTACCGGCATATTTAGCTATCCTCAGCCTAGTAATTTTATTATTTAATAAATCAATTTTATACCACCGATTTATGGATTAACTTTTAATTTGCTCATCCACATGTTACTTGGCTGTAATTTAAATTCGAAAAAAAAAAATTACAGTGAATTTTGAGTGACCTGGAAAAATAAAAAAAATATTAACAAATGAATTCATCTGTAAAAAGATAAAAGAAGTTTAAATATAAATGTAAAACGAATCAAGAAAGTTATTTAACTTTTTTATTCTTTGGAGTTCTATCACGAGGAACAAAATCTTTTGATGCTTATACTCTGACTATTTTCTGTTACAATGCAGTCACATGCTCAACGTAATACTTAAGCTCGTAGCTTTCCTCGTGACATTTACGGATGATTTAATGCAGGATTCAATTTCCTCCCAGAAACCAATTAGTTCATGTTTTGTTTCACTCACGCTAAGCTTTCGTTAATTATTTTTCTTGTTATCTCACTCTGTTTGTCTTAGTTAGATCAATGCTAGATGTATTCTCAGAGTGTAATTGATTTTATAAAAAAAAAAAATTTTTTAATTCTATTAGGTAAAAAAATTAACTGTTACATTTATGTCAAAATTCAATTTTTTATTAAAAAATTTTTTTGACGCTGACAGGTTGTTCAAGACAATCTAGAATTAACATCCTAGAAAAAAAATTTTAAAAATAACCAGCCAGTTGCTTACAGTAACATAAAATGTAACTGTTACATTTATGTCAAAATTGAAATTTTTGTCAAAAAAATTTTTTGACGCTGAAAGGTTCTTCAGGGTAGTCTAAAATTGCTATTCCAAGTGAAAATTTTGGAAAATAATCAACCAGTTACTTGTAGTAACATAAAATGTAACTGTTACATTTATGTCAAAATTGAAATTTTTGTCAAAAAAATTTTTTGACGCTGAAAGGTTGTTCAGGATGATCCAAAATGAAGATTAGAAGTGTAATATTTTAAAAATATTCATCAATTTGGTTTCAGTAGTAAAAAATCAACTGTTACATTTATGTCAAAATTGAATTTTTTGTCAAAAAAATTTTTTGACGCTGAAAGGTTCTTCAGGGTAGTCTAAAAATAATATTCCAAGTGAAAATTTTGAAAAATAATCAACCAGTTGTTTGTAGTAACATAAAATGTAACTGTTACATTTATGTCAAAATCCGATTTTTGTGAAAAAAATTTTTTTGACGCTGAAAGGTTGTTCCGGATGATCTAAAGTGACGATTAGAAGTAAAATATTTCAAAAATTTTCCTCCAGTTGCTTATAGTAGTAAAAAATCAACTGTTACATTTATGTCAAAATTCAATGTTTTGGAAAAAAATTTTTTTGACGCTGAAAGGTTCTTCAGGGTAGTCTAAAATTAATATTCCAAGTGAAAATTTTGAAAAATGATCAACCAGTTGCTTGTAGTAATATAAAATGTAACTGTTACATTTATGTCAAATTTTTTTTTTTTTTTTTAATTTTTTTGACTTCGAAGGATTCTTAAAGACAGTTAATAATGACCATCTAAAGCATAAAATCTTAAAATCCAGCCAACCAGTTGCTGAGAATAGGAAAAACGTGACTATTACATTGATGTCAGGTTAGTTGTAATCCTTGTAGCTGAGTGAGTAAATCGGGGCGTATGAATGGGAAAACTAAATCCGGTGGCTTTGGAATAAGAGTATAAAGCACGTAAGACTTGAAGTAAATTTATCGACCGCGCCTCGTTTAACTTTCTCGAATCGGAATCCGGCAATTTACCCTATAGCGTTTGGTCTATTTCATCATTTATATATTTCTCGAGATTAATGTGTCTGGATCAATAAACCTCTCTGATCCAATTTAGATTTACTGTTATTATCATTACGATCACTATTTAGATTATCTTATTTTCTCAGCGAATGTATTTTCCCCGATTGAGTAATTTAGATCTTGGAGAAGCCTCGGACACCTGTAACATTAATACAATTGGCTGACCAGCCTTTAATTCTCCGTGTAGACATTGTAGTGTCCAATATGTCCCTAGTCGGGAACTGGAGCTGCTAGCTGGGTGGAGCTGATTGTTCGCATCTGTTGAATCTGGACGCGAGCCAACACTAAAGTTTAATTTAGGCTTCACTTTAACCACTGCTTTTAATTTATACTGTTGTGGGTTTCAATTGTCGACCTTTCGATTCATATATGTTTACTTTCTTCCCCTACCAACAGAGTTATGACTTACAATCAACGTTTTCAGTATTACAAGTCGTTGAGATTTACAATTTAGATTCTGACATAAATGTAACAGTTGATTTTTTGCTACTGGAAGCAACTGGATGACTATTTTTAAAATATTACATTTTGAATCTTCATTTTGAATCATCCTGAACAACCTTTCAGCGTAAAAAAAATTTTTTTGACAAAATTTGGATTTTGACATAAATGTAACAGTTACATTTTATGTTACTACAAGCAACTGGTTAATTATTTTTCAAATTTTCCACTTGGAATATTAATTTTAGACTACCCTGAAGAACCTTTCGGCGTCAAAAAATTTTTCAACAAAAAATTGAATTTTGACATAAATGTAACAGTTACGTTTTTGCGATTCTCGGCTTCTGGTGGTCGCATTTATAAAATTTTGAATTCTAACACCTTTTTTTCACCCTCTTGACTCCCAGAATCCCTGAAAATGGTACCAAAAAAAAGGTAAATAATATTTCTCACCGAAAAAAATAAAATCGTAATTAAACAGCAATTAGAAGTTTGAAATAACGTACAAATATTTGTAGATAAAATCCACCTGTGAATTTTGTATGAAACAAGATCGTTATTCGTGTACTAAATACCCGTGGGAGTGAGAAAAAAAATATTATTCTGTCACAACTGTCACTGGCAACAAATATAAAACGGGTTGTCGATAGCACTAAAAATCAAATACATTCCGTTATTTTGTTCGTTCCGTTTTAATATTCCGTTCGTTTCGATATTAAACATTTAAAAAAAATGAAATAAAAAAAAATGGATAAAGTCAATTTAAATTACGATATGGAAATAATTTTAAAATGATTGAATTTTACGATTGGATAAATATATCAAATGAAAAAACGTCACTTCAGTTGGAGAAAAATTTTTTATCTAACTACTACCCTCTGTCCTGTATGAAACAATCAAAGGTGAGGAACCCGGTAGACCGTTAAAATTATTTCCCGAGTATGTGCATTTACGGATCATTTACCGCCAACGGTGAATCAGCTTTTATTCCGGAGCACCACTCAAACACCCTACACTTTCAACCTGTTGCCCGGATTGAGAAATCTTAGATTCTTTGGTATTGATTCCATTCCGCTCGAGATTATTTATTCTCTCCGGCGCCTTGAAGTCTCTGAGAACCCAATCAATCGTTTGAGTCCGATTTTGGGGGAATTTATACACTAGAAGCTGAGATATTCTCAAAAGTCAGCTGTTACATTTATGTTGTTGATTTTTATTGTTTTGACGGGCAAAAAGGGGTCAGAAGGGTGAAAAGAAGGTATAGAATCAAAAATTTTTTAAATGCGACCACTAGAAGCCGAGAATCGCAAAAACGTAACTGTAACATTTATGTCAAAATTCAATTTTTTGGTAAAAATATTTTTTGACGCTGAAAGGTTGTTCAGGACACTCTAGAATAAACATTTAAAAAAGAAATTTTGGAAAGTGATCAGCCAGTTGCTCATAGTAGCAAATAATGTAACTGCTACATTTATGTCAAAATCCAATTTTTTTCTAAAAAATTTTTTTGACGCTGAAAGGTTGTTCAGGACAGTGTATAATAAATATTCCAAGTGGAAATTTTGAAAAATAATCAGCCATTTGCTTACAGTAACAAAAAATGTAACTGTTACATTTATGTCAAAATCAATTTTTTGTCAAAACATTTTTTTGACGCTGAAAGGTTATTTAGGATGATTCAA